GAGAGACTGGGGACAGAGCCAAACAGAAGCCAATATTCCACTCTCAATTACCTGGGAAGGTAGGGTCTTGAGACAGAAGCAAACCAAGAATCTGCTATACACAGAAGATATTTGTGAAGAACAGACTTTTCCTAGGAATACCTTGATAATAGTGATATAGTTATCTCCTACCAAAATTCACAAGGATCATCACAGAAAGCAAAATAAAAATTTTTTGAAATAGACAAAGGAGCAAAATGCAATCTCATATTAAGACAAAGGAGCAAAATGCAATCTCAGACCTCCAGGCTACCCAGAACAAGTCCAGGAGACATTGACATAGAAGAAATTGGCAAAATTGGTCAAAATATATATAAAAAAACTTTTAATCGTTAACTGTTTATATCTGGTAATCTGAGCAACTTATGTGACAACAACAATTTGCATTATAAAAACCACCGGTGAATTCCTACAATCCTGTCTAGTGAAACTATGTGTTATCTCTAATATTCTTTTAAATTATTATTTTCTTATTCTCTTTAATAATTTGGGTTTTTTTTGGTTTTTTTTTTGGTTTTTCTCCAGTACCGGGAACCGAACTCATGACCTTGCGCTTGCCAGGCAGGCGCTTTGCCGCTGAGCTAAATCCCCAGCCCCTCTCTTTAATAATTTGATCAATCTTGCATTCTTACATCTGGAAGTCTGAGCAAATTCATTGAAGATAACAATATGTAATATAAAAACCACTGTTAATCCCTATCATTTGGTTTGAAATCCCATATCATTTTAAATGTTCTTGCATTGTTTTGTTTGTATTTTGCTATTGTTCTTTTTTTGTACTATTTTTTAAATAAATAAATAAATAAATTTTAAAAAGAAAAATTGGAAGTCACACACCAGAAATTTCTGAAATGATAGCAACTGAAGTAAAGAAACAACACTGGGAGGCTATAGAGGAAATCAGATCAGAAATAATCTCTTAGGTAAAAAAAGAAATGACAATGACAGTGAAAGAATTGCTGAACATATCTAAAGAAGACATAGATTAAAAAAAAAATAGAGCACAGGAAAATGATGGAAACCTTGAATTAACAATACAGGAAAGAATTAGGATGCATGAAACAGATTCAAAGAGATATCCAGGAAATTAAAAATTCCATTGAAAGCTGGCCAAACTTCTTGAATGAAACTGAAGACAGACTTTCAGACCTTGAAGACAGGATTGCAGCTAGCGATCAAGAAATGAAAGGTCTCTTAAAAATAACAAGTGGGGCTGGGGATTTAGCTCAGCGGCACAGCACCTGCCTTGCAAGGGCAAGGACGTGAGTTCGATTTCTGGTACCAGAAGAAAAACAAACAAAAAATAACAAGGAACCAGGAAATAACAATTCAACAGATGCAAAATGACAAAACAGTGTAACAGTGTAAAACTGAGCTCAACCACCAGCAGAGTGAAAAGCAAACCCACAAATGGAAATTTTAGCCAACTCTCTCTCATACAAAGGACTTCTATCTAGACAATATAAGTAATTTTACAAATTACACCCCCAAAATTTAAAGACCCAGTCCAAAAATGGGCATTTGAGATGAGTATACACTTCTCGGATGAAGAAATACAAATGGCAAATAAATATATGAAAAAAATGCTCAACATCCTGGTCATTCGAGAAATGCAAATTAAAACAACATTGCAATTCCATCTCACCCCGGAAAGAATGGCTATCATCAAAAAATCAACTAAGAATAAATGCTGACAGGGCTGTGGGGAAAAAGGAACTCTTTTCCACTTTTGGTTGGAGTGTAGACTGGTACAGCCACTGTAGAAATCAGTGTGGAGATTCCTCAACAAACAAGGATTAGAAATCCTTTTCAACCCAGCTATTTCTCTTCTGTGTATTTTCCCAGAAGAACTAAAAACAACATACTACAACAATATAGGTGTACCCATGTTTACAGTAGCACAATTTGTAATAGGCAAATCTTGGAAACAACACAAATACCCATTAATCGAGGAATGAATAAAAAAGATGTGTTACTTTTATACAATGGAGTCCTACTCAGTTATAAAGAAAGGTAAAATCAAGGCTTTTATAAGTAAATGGATGCAACTGGAGACCACACTCATAAGTGAAATAAATCAGACCCGACTGTGTAACCATCATATTGTCTCCCTAGTATAAGAACCTCAAAGAGTAAATAAGATCCAAAAGGTACAATGGATACTGTGAAAGGGAAAGAAACTCTCCAAAGAAAAGAACAACTGGGATGGTGGAAAGGAGAAGAGAAAGAAGGGATAATATATGTACAAGATAGCTAAGATAATGGTACTACTAGTTGCTGTTAGTTCATTGAAAGGAACAGTTAGCGTTTATATTGTTTGATCAATCTTACAAGTCTATACCTGGTAATCTGAGCAACTACTTTGAAAAGAACAATATGCAATATAAGAGCCATTATTAATTTCCTATCATTTTGTTTTAAAATTCTTTAGTTTTTATTTTTTATTCTCTTTAAAATTAAAAAATAAAATGAATCACCATGGCTTGCAGGTGATGTAGTAATTCAGAAGAGGCACCCAGTAGACTGACTTTGCTTTACAGTAGGGTTTGTACATTGCAAAGTCATTTCCCTCGGGTGAAACGCTGAAAAGGAGTCCATGGTGAGCAAATGCAACCTCATTCCAAAATCAGCTGTGAGTAACCGGAGAATGGGTGAAACATAGAGCGTGGGGTTCAGAAGTCAGCTGCGTGTGGGTGTTGGCTTCTAGATTTTGCTGGTGATAGCTGTATATAGAGGAGGGTCATTTTATTAAAAAAAAATACCACGAAGTATTCGAGTGTGATAAGGAAATGTATCACTAGGTTTCTGTCAAATGTATTTAGAAAAGTAGTTACTTGAACCACACTTCTCAAGTTTCTCAACATGTGTAATTGCTTTAAAAGAAAACAGAACATAAGACGACCCGCTTTCCCTGGGAATTTAAGATGCGTTCTTTTATTGGCTGTTCTTCTAGAATGAGCCAGCGGGTTAGGGTGAAGAGGTGCTGGCTGGTCCTAAATGGGCATCAATAAATGGCCACGTAAATTCAGCCATCAATATAACCATCTTTTGCTTACATTTTTTATATTTCTCCGTGTTCTCAACAAAATACTGACTAGGATTCAATGCCAACCAAGAGAAGGCTCTGAGCATGAGCTGTTGTTCGGAAGGAGAGGGTTCCTTGTTCCCCGGGTAGGCTGGGGTGCGTTAGCACTCCACTCACTAATTGTCCATGCAGAAGACACTGGGATGTCCAGGTGTAATTACTGCTTACAGCTCACCTGCTGCTAAGCGTCTTTGAATGACTCACTTGAGTGACTGTTTGTTGTTGGTACTGAAAAGAACTCCCTTGAAGAACGCAAAGCACATAATTACCAGCCTTTAGTGCAAACGCTTCTGGAGAATTTCTCAGCTAAACCCACTCTTTAGAGGTAAATAGCAAGGGGGCTTGTAATTAGATGCGCTGCTCTTTAGACATGAACCGACATAGATAATGCGAGATAATTAGCAGATAATTTTCCAGGTATTCCTGGCACTGAGCGCTAAAAGCAAAATTAAGTTAGGCAAAGCACTCTGAGAATCGCCCGTGGCCAGTGTGCTGCTGCTGTTAATTGGGAGGAGAGGGGAGCTCTGAGCTCTGGAATCTGAATTACCCTGCCTCACGTCCAGTCAGCCAGGAGGCCGAGAGTGGCCGACAGCAAGGAAGAGTTAGTAATTGAAGGGTGGCGTGGGATGCAGTTTGCTTCTTGGAAACAGTTTTCATTTTAATCCCTGGTTTGAATTCTGGCAGGGGAGGTGTTAGGCAGCACACATATGTCTTACATTTTCAGTCACCTGTTTCCTTTACTGACCTGCTAATTGTGACGTTCATCCACATGCTCTGAGAAACAGTTTGATGGAGGTGATGTGGAAGGATTCAAAAATCCCACGCAGGTTTCTTTTTAGGAATTAATAAAGCAACTTCAAGATTCCCTCAAAATGTTTCTGAGGAGAACACTTAATTACATATCTGTAATTTTAAAGAAATATGTAAAGATAGGAAGTGGGATAAGTGGAGCGAAGTAAAATAAAAACGCTGTGAGGGAAAAACCTGGGGAAACGCAAGACGCTTGAGGGCTGCAGTTTCTTAGGATGGCCCTGGCTGGTGCGGGTGAAAGACCCCCCCAATGCCCAGGCTCACACAGGCGTCCTGAAACATAGGCGTATCCGATGGCACCACCAGGGTACCTTAGTTCCAGTCCAGCATTAGCCCGAGCTTCCTGCGTGACCCAGGGCATAGGATTTCTCTTCTTGCTCTTTAGTTTTCCCATCCTTAAAAAGAGTAAAACCTGTGTCTCCACAAGGCATTGTTTGAAGGATCAAGTAAGATAATGTCTTAAGTGCTAAAATGACAGAATGTTGCTATGTAAATGTTGTGCTACTTGCAGGGCTCTTGTGGGTTAGGGAAGCGATGGAATTAAAACCTCAGATCAGAATCTGTTCAGTCAGATGAAACTGAGATAAATGTTTAAAGTACAGTGAGCTGTACTGTCAGCTCAAAATTAGGGACCTTGTCCCCTCAGTTTCAGAACCCTCTGTCCCAGTGGCTCGAGCATCCTGCTTTTTATTCCCCGACCCTGGCTCTCCTTCATCTTCACGTCCTTGGACTGAGGAACCTGTCTCCTCTGGCCCAGCTGGTTTCTGCTCTTTCCACTTCTTACACTCTCCTCTCTCTCCTGCCCTAGGAGGTGACACGGATTTCAGGGTTAATTGGCCTGTATTGCTGTACCCTTTCTTTCAAGCACTTCTGCTGCTAGTTTAGTCTCCAAATTCTATCTGATTGCTACACTAACCTTGAAATAATTAGGTCTATAAATTTGTGCTAAATTTGATACTAACTTGGACTCAATTCTAACACAGACAATGTAGGCACAGTATGCAGATTTTTAGTTACTGATGAAAATTTTCGGATCGACAACTTCCTGCCCTGCTTTGTTCTGCAGTATGTCCCTCCATGTGGAACATGGACCTCCGCCTCTGATTTGGGCACCTGATCCTGTGGGACACACAGGCCTCGAAGCCTGCTGACCTCGAGGACCATCACCTGCAAGGGCAGGTCAAGCAATTCCTGAACCACCTTTGTCTCATAATCCACAGAGGAAGCTGAGGATGGAGGCAGGAGCTTGGTGACCGAGGGGCAGAAGTCCGCTCTTCTAGGAGTCGCCATGCCCAGCTGGCTGTCGAGGTCTCCAAAGCAGAAGTGACAGTCACCGAGCCAGGCATGGGACAAGGTTCTCAGCAGAGCCACTGTCTGGGGAGACCCCACCTGGCCTGGTGGGTGCTGATAAGGTTCGTGGTGGGACATCTCCCTGTGGTGATGACACTGGAATCAGAGGACTCAGAGGTGGCCTCCTTATTTCTCAGGGTCCTCACGGGAGCTGGGGGAGCATCAGCCACGTCAGGCGTATCATTTGATGTAAAATCTGCCCTTTGTGTTAACAAAATACTTCCTGCATTTGTATCCAAGTAAGTTTTGGGATCACAACGAGTTTTTACACCAATTTCATCCCTCCAGTCAAAATGAAATTCAGTACTTTTACCATGGTTAAAGGGAAACAGAGCTGCCAGGACTATGTCAGAGGCATTTGCCACCTGCCAAGGTCACCTGGCCCCAGGAAGGGTGGGAGCTCCTCTGCCCAGATGCAGGCCAGTGGGTAAGACTGCCCTGTCACCAGCCATCCCTGTCACCAGCTTGGGCATGTTCCTTCCTCAGCAAGAGGGGGAGGTGGCTGGTGCAGGAGCCGCTGCTGCTGGGCAGGAAGAAACATCTGCCTGAGCTCATACTTGTCTCCAGTGGGAGGGCTCCTGGAGTCTGATGTTATACTACTTGGTCTCTAAGGAAGCAAGGATTTCACCGAGCCTATTTTTTCTTTCATGTTATGTATTGGATTTATATTATACTCAAGAGTAAAAGATTGGGCTGGAAATTCATGAGAACATTGGAGTTTGTGGACCGCGGATGCAGCTCAGTGGTAGTAGACTTTTGCCTAGCACTTGGGCAGCTGTAGTACTGCAAAAAAAAAAAAAAAAATTAGAGTCTTTGAGGGCTCTAATGAATCAAAAGGCATTGCCCCCCAACTTATGATGGGGTTCTGTCCCAATAAACCCATTGCAGATTGAAAACAGTGTTAAGTCAGAGATGCATTTAATATGACCACCCTCCCAAACATCATGGCTGAGGCTGGCCCACCTTGAATGTGCTCAGCACAACTCATCTTACCCCACAGCTGGGCGAACACATGAAACACAGACGACCTTGCTAGGAAAGATGGAGTAACCCATGTCATTTACTGAATGCTTTCACTGGAAGAAACCCAGACCTGGAAGACACTGGAGAGCGCAGGCTGCTTCCTCTCCTGAACTGGGGGCCAAGAAGGACCTGCAATTACCCCACACTGTGAGAGAACCACACCGGAATCAGACCGGTTATTGTTAACCTCAGGAAAGACCAACAGTTAACACTCAGGTGCAGTTGCTGTGAGTGCAAATCACTTTTGTGCCATTATAAACTGACACCATCTGTGTATCAAGATGGGAAGATCGTCCAGAGTCGCATCCGCTGGCTGTCTCTAAGGGGTGACCTCAGCAGCACCATCCTCTGGGGCCTCTGGTCTTGTGTGCTATTCCTCTTCCCAACCACATCTGCCACCAGGTGCCAGGAGACCAATTTTCAGGTCTGTCTTTGCAAAACTGAGATGAACTTAAAGCGTTGCTTGCCCTGACACCCACCTGTGCACCCAGCTCGCTAGTGAGCTGACATCTGACTGGCAATTCTTGGGTATCAATAACTAGCGGAGGGATGATTAGGGGATGCCGGCGTGAGGATGCCTGGGACAGCGACTCCCTGCTCTCTGAGCGCCGTCAGGTCCTCTTGGAGGACTTGCATGAAGTAAGCTGCACACAGGCTCTTCCTGTTTCTGCAGGGTGACACCCAAACTCATTCTGGAAACTCTTTTGTAAACATTCAGAAAATTGAAAAACTGTATTTAAAAGATGTCAGTCAATTAAAAACTATGAAAGACATCCTATTAAAAAGGAAGCACAGGTAGAGGATACTCACCGCATATTCATTCGGGGACGTGCCCAGACTCATTTGACCTGCACCGGGGACTGTCATGCGGACCTACTTCAAGTCCAGCTCACATATGGGGAAACTGAGGTGCACAACCTCTAAGCCCCTAACCCGAGCTCGTCTCCATGATGGGAGCCCCGCCGGGCTGTGAAGTCAGTGCACACCAAGGACCGGGCCTCCTGGGGCTGGCGTGATATTCGGTGCTCAGACCACACGGTGATAGCTGCCGGTTTTCATATTCCTTGATGTAAGGAACACTGGGTGGATTTTCTCAAGCACTTCTGAGGTCAGCACCCAACTTGGCTATCTTCTTAGCTCTTGTTTGAGCCAGAAAAACAAAAGAAATGTTGAGAGGGAAGGAAAAGAAGAAGAGGGCGGTGGGCTGGCTCCATCTCTGTGCTTGGCTTACACAGCCTTCTTCAAGGTGTCCAGGCTCGGCAGGGCTTTCTGTGCAGAGAGTGGTCTGGGTGAATGAGGGAGATGACACAGACATCTGGTGGTGGGCTTGGACCACCTGCGTCTTCATCTTTTGCTCCAGAGCAGCACAACACCTCTTTCCTGTCAGCAGCAGCCCCAGTGAGAAACCTCAAGGGAGGGAAAGGGGTCCTGGGGACCCACAGGTGCTGAGTGAGAAGATGGAGTATGCACTGCAGGCATTCACTGCAGATTCCGATTCCCCATGGACCTCTCCCACACACCATTTATCTGTGAGCTTGAAGTTAGACACCAATAAATTACACTTAATTAACACTTAAGAGGTGCCTATAAATTACAGTAAAATACTTCAGTCTAATAAGAGCGGAGAGGCACCGAGTCAGGGTAGTGCTCCCCTGTAAGCCCAGTACTCTGGGAGACTGAAGCAGGAGGATTAAAATTTGAGCCCAGAGCCCAGCTCTAGTGACTTCGTGACTTAGCAGGACTCTGTTTCAAAATAAAAAGTAAAATGGGTTTGAAGATATATCTCAGTGCAAAAGCTCTGGGTTCAGTTCTGTGTTACTTTTCTCATTGCTGTAACAAAACACCCAGCACCCAAAGTTAAAGGAGGAAAGTTCTATTTAGCTCACAGTTTGTAGAAGTTTTCAGTCCATAACTGGCTGGCTCCAAGGCAGAAGAGTTCATGGCGGGCAGAAGTTAGCAAAGCAACAAGAGCTGACTACTGTTCTTTCTGCTCCTTCTGTCCTGTCCTGGGGTCCAGGCACCATGGTGCCCCCTCAGGTCACTGTCCAATCCCTCTCTGCAGGGCAGCTTCTGCAGCCACACTCAATCCAGCCAGTGGCCACAGGGCAACCGTGGATGGATCCTACAGTATCCCAGGTCCTCTCTGGGCTGTGGGCCCGTGTGCTAGCCCCTACTGGTCACTGTGCAGGGTGTCCAGCCTCTCCCCAGGTTGGTCACTAGCAGGGTAAGTCCAGAGCTGTGATGCCTGCCATCAGCGATGTCTTCAGAGAGAACTCTGAGCCCCAGGTGAGCCGTGCACAGACAGGAACTGCCAGAGGAGGATGCGGGACTTGCCTTTTCTACCTGCCGCTTCTGCATCTGACGACCGGCCACAGATCTCACAATGTGCTCATTTGATTATCAAGTCCGGAGATCCATTCTTCCCCACTTCCCAGCAAGCCACTCTGCAACGATTTTTTAAAAACTCTGTTTAAAGTATTTTAACCCCATCATTTAGGACAGGGAAGCCCTCTGCTCACTGGTTTCCCTTCGGGTCTGGAATTCACCCACAAGGCCTATGGCCCTCGTACTGTGACCCTCTGCCCCTCCTGCGGACCAGAGGCTCAGCTGTGTCAGATATGTGAGAGGCTGAAGCCCTGTGCACCTGCTTGGTGCCCTCATGCTCCCACCCCAGGCAGGTCTCTGCTGGCATGTCCCCTTCTCGGACACCCTGTCCCACTGCACAGCACCCTGCAGTGTCCCGGGCCCTGGGGTGAGTGGTGGGGACCACGCAGACCAGGATCCCGGCCGTCTAGGATACTTCAGTCTAGAGGAGAGGCTGTCCCCACCCCGGGCCTTCCTGTCCTTTTCCTCTGGCCAGCCTCCCCTTGCATCAGCCTGTTTGCTCCTGCGCTGTCTTTGAAGCACAGAGGTCCTGGCGCTGTCCTGGCTTATCCTCATCCTCCAGAAGGGTACTGGACACGGTACCGGACCCGTTGGTGTCAGACAGGTGTGCCTGGAGAGTGCTCGGCCTTGCAGACTGAACTAGGCAGGCATCCACACCAGTGTTAGTGGCGAGAGAAAGACTTCCTGGCCAGTAGCGCAGCCTGATGAAAGGCTCCAGAGGGAAAGCAAGTGTCCCCGGCGAGGCCGCGGGGCTGCTGCCTCTGCCAGCTGCTGGGGTGAGGGGTCATCTCTGTAGGTTGTGGGGACACGGGAGGCTCTCAGGTTGGGACAGTCCCAGGCGCCACTTCCGACCGGAAGTGGGTATGCAGTGCTCACTGTGTCACTGACGCATGCGGAGGAGCTCCGGGTACCAGGGAGCGAGCGCCAGCCTCGAGTCATCAAACACGCCCCAGGACTGCGGTGAGCGCAGAGCAAAACAGCGTGAGACCCTCAACCTGCCCAGGGCCTGGAATGTCCCGGCCGGACGCAGAGACATCGCATCCAGCCGCTCCAGCTAGTGCAGCCGAATCCCACACTGAGGGTCGGCCGGCGCTGCGCTGCAGGAATTTATTGTCACGGCTGAGGGCGCAGGCACGGTCAGCTCTGGGTCAGGCCTGCACCTTCTCACTGCAGCCTCACTCAGGGCAGGGTGCATGCACAGCCGCTCTCAGGAGCCGCTTACCAGGGCACCTACCCCGTGGCTCAGGGCTCCACTCTTGTGGCCTGATAACCTCCCAGAAACCCACGGGAACTTGTGGGCACACAAACACTGCCAGCGTGGCAGGGCACCCGCCTGTGAGCGGCCTCAGTAGAACATCTCTCAGGAGACACACTTTCGTTGTGAAGTTTCCGGCAAAGAAGCCCTGAGGAAGCATCCTAGGCCCCCTGGCTGCTTGGCCAATTCTGGGGCTGCAGCTAAGAAAGAGACAGCAGGGCCGAATCTCCCAAAGCGGACCCAAGCCTGCCATGGAGGCCCCGCCCACCTCGGGAAGACGGCTCCTGTCAATCACCTTTCTCAGATGCCTCCTGACACCAAGCTCCGCAGGGCGGCAGGCAGCTCCACCACCGCCCAGGCTCATGCAGCCCCTGTGTATGACCTTTGCCTTTCCGGGTAGAAAGGGCTGGCGTAGCTGTATCGCGGCACAGTTTGGGCTTGAGGTGGTATTTTAAACCTCTAATAGAGAAAACCCGGGAACTGTGTGACTTCCGGGCACCGCCTTGTGTGGGAGGGAAGTGGTCCTTCAGGTACTCTCCGGGCCGCGATGCCCAGGACGCTCGTCTGCCGGAGCAGCTGGGGGCTCTCTGAGCCCGTGCGGGAGATGGGCTGTGACACATCAGGCAGGCAGTTTAAACAGGTGTGCAGAAGTGCCAGGCCGTGCCCAAGGGCAGATTAATTCCGCCTCCGTCCCTTCCTGTCCTGTGTGCTCCCCGTTCTCCGCGTCCCCTTCCCACTCTGCTGTTACACAGCTCGGTGGTTAAAGCGGCTTTCCGTCCTTCTCATGCTAAAATGCTCCTGGAGACTCAGTTACTTCGAATTTCAACTGCAGTTCGCTGTTTCAGCGCTATTCCTGCACCCATTAGACGTTTAGCAGCTCCCAGCCACCGACTCTGCCCGCTAAAAGGTAGCAAGCCTGCCCAGCTTTCTTCACCGCGGAGCCTGGATTCCAGAGGCAG